TGTCCGACTACAACATCCAGAAGGAGTCGACTCTTCATCTGGTCCTCCGTCTGCGTGGTGGCATGCAGATCTTTGTCAAGACTTTGACTGGCAAGACCATCACCTTGGAGGTTGAGCCCTCGGACACCATTGAGAATGTGAAGGCCAAGATCCAAGACAAGGAGGGTATTCCCCCAGATCAGCAGCGTTTGATCTTCGCTGGCAAGCAGCTGGAGGATGGACGCACTTTGTCCGACTACAACATCCAGAAGGAGTCGACTCTTCATCTGGTCCTCCGTCTGCGTGGTGGCATGCAGATCTTTGTCAAGACTTTGACTGGCAAGACCATCACCTTGGAGGTTGAGCCCTCGGACACCATTGAGAATGTGAAGGCCAAGATCCAAGACAAGGAGGGTATTCCCCCAGATCAGCAGCGTTTGATCTTCGCTGGCAAGCAGCTGGAGGATGGGCGCACTCTGTCCGACTACAACATTCAGAAGGAGTCTACTTTACACTTGGTGCTCCGTCTACGTGGAGGCAATTAAATTTGAGCACTTAACCGCTATATGATATAAAATTGGAAATTATATATGTACTCGGCTAACAATAATGTATTCCATTTGATGTTTAATTGGCCTTAAATGATTCGCAAAATCCTAAAGTATTAAAATATTCAATAAAATTTAAATTGTGTGCGTTCAATAATAAAAACCTCTTTGATTTGTTTTTATTTTAGTAGGATGTAGCAGAGAATCGTTAAATAAGTATACATATGTTCTGTTTTAGTTGCACTCGTTGAGTAGGAATTTTGTCCATTTGTTTGTAGCTGTGGGCGGCATTTAGCAACATGTATCGATGAAGTGAGTCTGTCAATAACAGAGCAGCATGTGTCCAAACTTGTAGCAGCAACATTTACGGAATATCGATACTGCGATTAATCGGATTGTGTTGTTTCCATCACTGAAAACAGCTGTAGTCAAAATTAAAGTCCCAACACACTAGACATTCACACACACACTTCAGTGTTCAGTAAAATATTTTGTAATTATTTCGGTTTGTAATTGTGGTGTTGCTTAGCTTTGCAGAATGAGCAGGGAAATCAGCTTGGCCGAGGTGAAAAAGCATAACAAAGCCGATGATTTGTGGGTGGTGATCGAGGACAAGGTCTACGATCTGACCAAGTTTAAGCAGGAGGTACGTCTCTCTCGTTCTGTATATGAAAATAATGTTAAGCCCTGTTTATTTGTGTGACTAGCATCCTGGCGGCGAGGATTCGCTGATATCTGTGGCGGGTCGCAATGGCACACGGGAATTTCTGGATGTGGGCCACAGCCAGGAAGCCCGGTAAGTTTCCATTAGCACAGCAGCTGGTACTTTTATTCATATTGCTTTCTCTTTCGCTCTCTCATCACATTTCCAGTGAGATAATGAAGAAATTTCTGATTGGCAATTTGGCAGCCGCCGACATTAAGAAAAAGGGGGCCGTGGGGTAAGTTGTTTTTATTTGTCTGCCTCATTTTTTGTAATTGTAATCGCAAGACATTCAACTCAGTTGACAAGCATGAGCCTGAGCCTGAGCATGAGCATGAAATGTCAGCTAACTTCATTATGAGCAATCAGCGCATCATTATCATCATTGATTGGCTGCGTCATCTAATTAACACGTTCCATGAGGCCTGCAAATCGGAACTGATTTTCACTTGATACACTGATTTAACACGCGTCCAATAAGAATCGCTATGTCCAATAAGCCGGATCAAAATTAATCGCCCTAGGAGTCGGCCAATTGCTAGATGGTCGTCAAATTCTGCGAGTATTTTACATCCAATAAGATGCAAAATGCATTCAACTATATGCGATCTAATCTGATACCCAAATAGGATAACAGTTGAAGTCAAGGAACTCAGTTTGCACTTTCATTGAAAATGTCGACTATGGCTATGCAGTCATTCCTCAATTAACAGCTATTTAAGCCCTGAGATATGTGTTTACGACAGAGTTTTGAATATGCATTTGTATATACACATATGCACATATATATATGCATTTGAATATATATGTATATTACTTTTTCAAGCTTCAAATCGTTCGCCAGCACCAAAGTTAAATTCTACAAAAGCTAAGCAACACCGCAAAACTAATTAAAACAAAGAAATGCAAAGAGAAAAGAAAAACAAATTTGTGAGTTTCAAAATATTCAAAATAAAAATTTAAAAAATGCATAATTTTCATGTTATATGTTTTAATAATGCACCAAATTTGTAGTTAATGTTTGTAAAAATATTCAAGAATTTTGGATATCAAAATATTCAAATGTAATCTCAATATATATATAACTATTCACATCTTAATATATGTATGTATATAAATAGTTATTGATTTCGATGTTGATATTCAGTTTATTCCCATTGTCCATTTAGTTTCAAAGTAAGCTCATCTGTATGTATATACCATACCATACATACATATATATTTGCCTATATCCATGGGACTGTTATGTGCTTTTGTCTATATATCTGCAATAGCTAAACCTTGGAGCACCAACTAGAAGTTTCCCTTTGCTTGCTTTGCTCTTATTTTCTTGTTTACCTTTATACTTTTCTTTGGTTTGATTAGTGCCACGCCCACAGCTGATGACAATGTGAATGCGAATGCGAATGCCACGCCCAAGCAATGTTGCATTTTGCACTAAGCGCGAATGCCTACAGTTAAAACCAAATCCCAATTGAGATCCCAACTTAACTTTGATTTATTTGCGATTAGCCCAGCCTTATATGCAAAGACACACACACACACACACACACTGATACATTTCTATATATGCATACATACATATGTACTTAACATTATTTTCTTGTTTGTTGTAAAAGTTGCAGAGAAATCGGCTTGGCCGTGGGCGCCATAATACTGGGCATGGCGTTGGTCTATGCGATCAAACGGGGCATAGCCAAGAACTAAGTCGAAGGACGCTGCGCAACACTGAAACTTTCATTCCGCAAAGAGAGAAGAGGCAGAATAAAATTTGTCCTTTTGATATACCATTTTATTTTGTATAAAAGTCGTTGATATTGATGCTGTTAAATCTATGTCTTTAATAAATCAATTCTTAAAAAAAAAAGAATTTGTGGTTATATATTTGAAATTAACAATTCCTTAATTTCAGCTATTTCCATCTCTTTCTAATTAAAGACTTTAAAATAACAAAAACTGGAATTTGTATAGGAATTTTTGGCAGTTTAAGGAAAAGTTTATTTTATTTGCTCTGCATGTGAGAGGCAACATTGCCTTAACAAATGGTAAATGAGATTAATAATTATGTCCATCGACAACGCCTGTAGCCTCTCAACGATTTCCATCTCTTTCTAATTCAAATCGCCTCAAACCTCTTCTTGAACATGTGGGAATTGTGAAAGCAACATTTGCCCATTCATCAGAAAAGGAATTTCAATTGCAACATCTTGCAACTATGCTTCGGCAACATTTAACAATCGAGCTGCAGTCAGTTGGCAACATTTGGCATTGGGAGGACACTCCATTGGCAACATTTACCCGCTTGGTATCATTTGATTATTCACGTCGATAGCCATTAATCGATTGTACATTTGTAATTGTTTTTGTTTAGTTATTTTATTTGATGCTTTTTTTTTTTTAATGCTTAAGGTTTTCCTTTGCGTTGAGTTTCCAGCTTGCTTAACTTGTGAGTTTACAGAGTAATATACTTATTACTTATGTATACATGTATAATTAAATCCAGATCATATAGTCACACCCACGCACTCCCTAGTTCTAGTCCTAGTTCTCGTCATATAGAGGCGTTGAATCGCCCAAGTTCATGGAGTGCGGCGAGGTGTTTGTGCGCGGCGTGCTGCGCACCGAAGACTTGGAAGAGATGCCGCCACCACTAGCAGCACTACTAGAAACAGCAGCGGCTGCTGCAACGCCGGCAACTGAAGACGAACTGCGATTCGTGCTGCTGCTGCTCGTATGGTATTCGTTGGTGGGCGTGGAGCCGGCACCGCTGCCGACACCGCCAACACCACTGCCGCTGCCATAGCCCATACCCAGGCTCATGCCCAAGCCGAGCTGCTGCTGCTGCTGCTGCTGCGACTGTTGCTGATGCTGGGGCTTGCGACGTGCCCACGAATCGTTAGCCAGCTGCCAGTCCAGATTCTCCTTGGCACGTTGCTGCTGATGCATATGATGATGGTGCTGCTGCGACAAGTGTGGATGTTGCTGCTGTGAGTGTCCATGGCCATGGCCATGCGAATGCGAATGCTGTGACTGCTGCTGGTGATGCTGCGACAGATTGCCGCTGTTGTAGGCGTTGTCATAGTAGCGGGGCGTGCCGCCATAGTGACCGTGCCGCTGACTGCTGCTCGACTGGGAGCTGGGGCTTGGAACATTGTGGCCGTAGCGTGGTGTTTGCGTCGCATGCGGCGTATAGGGCGTCATGAATGGTGTTTGGCCGCTTGGCGTGTACGGCGTATTGATGTGGGCGCCAAAGGTGGGCGTGCCGCTGCCAAAGTGGCCCAGGCCAGCGGTATTGATGAGGCCCAGGCTGGAGCTGCTGCCGCTACCGCTGCCATAGCCGCCAATGCCGCCAGCGCCTCCACCACCGGGAGCGCCCATGGAATGCGTTATTGAGTAGGCGCTGGAGCTGCGCATATCGCTGCTACTGATGCCGCTGCGTGGTGTGCCGCCCGTCATACTGCCCGAGCTACTGAATCCTTGGGCTCCGCCACCGCTGCCACTGTTGCCAAGCGAACTGAGCGCCGATGTGGGCGGTGGTCGCATCATGTTGTGCGCATTTGTGGGCGTATTGCTGGCGGGCGTGGCACTGATCGAACTGGACATGACCGTTGGCGGATCCAGCCAGTGCTCCTTGAACCATCGCAACAGACTGTTGACCGAGTCAAAGATTTGGCCACGAAACCGATAGCCCTCCGGCATGACAGTGACATATTCGTGGCGCACCTTCGTCTTGGGCAGATAGGACAACAGAAACTTGCCCGGCATGCTCTTCGATGCCGTGAAAAAGTAATGGATCTTCTTCGGATCACGCCCCTTCTCCTCGCGCAACAGCTGCTCCATGAAGTCACGCTCATTCACGTTCGCTGGCGCCTTGTTCGGCTTATAGTACTTGTATTGGATGAGCTCGCGGGCAGCCAGAGCCATGGGATTGATGTGACGTGCGATGATCTCGTCGAGATCCTCGAACTCTTCGGTGCCGATCCAGAGACTGCGTCCCAGACTATAGTCATTCTCTTTGCCCTCCTCGCGCACATCGATGTGCTGGAAGATGTCGTCGGCCACCTTCCACGTGGCCGTCAAATGATCCTTGGACTTGCTGCTGGGCCGCAGCGCCACCTCGCCCTGGTCCGCTTCGGCGAGCATGGCGATGACCTCCGCATACGACTTGTTGAAGAAACTTGGATGGGCTATGACGCGTCTGGCATAGGTCTTGCGCTTCATGGCCTTCGCCTTGGCATCCGACACCTTGCGATTGTCCAGCTCCTCGGTGACGTAATCATAGAACGCATCACGTCTGGGTCGCCATTCGTTGTTCACGTCCTTCAGGTCGGCCGACTTGGAGCTGCAGTCGACCGAGAAGCGATCAATGTCAATCTTAATGATGCGCACATGGATGGTCTGTGAGATGCGGACACGTTCCTCCGGATTGCGCACCTGTTTGTCGGACAGATTCTTGATGTGTATGAAACCGGGCAGGCCATTCTCGAGCCGTACACGCACGCCGGACGCCTGGCCCGGGCAATTGTTATCATCGAAATGATTCCACACATCGGACAGCTCCGGGAAGTCATCCTTGTGACAGAACGGACATTGCCAGCTGTCGGAGTCATCGATGCGCACCGGATTGGCATTGTCCAGCTGATCGCCCTGTGGACGCCGATACGTAAATCCAGTCACCATGGCCGTCACACACTTGCCCACATAGAATGAGTCCGGCGTCTCCTTGGTCAGCATATCGAAGAGCTCCTCGGCGCTGGGCTTTTGATAGGGTGAACGATAATCCTTGTACAGGCAGCTCAGCTCGTTGCGTATGTCGTAGAGCGTGATGCTTTTGCTGCCAAATCCCTGACGTTCCAGCTCCACGGCGAATGCATCCAAGTCCAGATCCTTGAGTCTCTCCGGCGATTCGAGGATCTCCTCGAGTGCACCGGCTGGATTTGTTTCCTCATCATCGTACTCCATGGCATCGATGGCCATCTTGCGCGCCCACTCATATGTCTCCGGGTGCACACGCGAGCCATCCAGCACCTCGACATACGCCTCCGTGCTGTCGCCCAGCGAACTGGTATCGATCTTGATGAAGCCACTGCAATTGATGAAGACCTTGGGACCCAGGTGGCACACCGTCACCAATTGTGTCCGATTCTCGAGGCGTTGGTTGCTCTGCTTGAGCAGCTTCAGCAGCGCCTGGCCCTTCCGCGGACCCAGTCCACAAATATATTGAAGCAGATTGACGGTACGGGAGTTCTGCACCATCAGATTGATGTCCAAGCCCACTTCGCTGGTGCGATTGATGAACTCCAGGCTGAGCTGCTCCAGCAGTAGCTCACGCGGCACACGCTCCTGCAGCGGATGGTAGCGCAGGCAGAGTATCTCATCGTCGGCATCGCACAGCTGGGAGTACTCAACCAATGGATCCTGCATTTTGCGCGCCAGCGAGGCAGCCTGCTTCAGCAAGGGTGGATACTCCTTAAAGTCACTTTCGCCCTTCTTCGAATTGGCATAGATCTTGGCCAGTTCATTGTCAATGATCTCCACCTCGATGGGCGGAAACTGTTCGTTGGCCTCCAAGTCTTTGAGTATCTCGCGTATGTCCGCCTGTATCATTTGTGCATCGCGCGACTCGGCGCCAATGACCACAACGTGCGGCTTCTTCATCTTGATGAATTCGCTGAGTTTACGCAAATCGGCCAACTTAAGAGCCTTGTCCTCGGCATTGTAGGAATTCTTACGCTTGAGGATGCTGGGCAATCGCAAGTAGTCAGTGATATCGCCCTCCGGACTGGCTATGGCACAGAAGGCGGCCACCGATTGATCCGGATCATAGGCGAGACCCATGGATCGTATGCCCCTCAGTGTGCTCCACTCCTCGAAATTGTGATGTTGCGGCATCTCTGGCTTATATGGTGCCACCTTTAGCCACTTGTACAGCTTGGCTATGCACGAGCGCAGCACAAACTGTTGCGCCTCCTCGTGCAATGTTGCGCGCAGCTCCTTGATTAGATCCGGTATGACCCATTTCTTCAGTGCCAACTGAACGCACTCGGCACGCAGGGCATTCCACTCCAGCACATTCTTGGAAAACTGATCCAGATGGTAGAACTGTGTGGCCTCTGTAATGTAATCACCGGGCGGACCATTTGCGTTCGCATTACCCTCGAATTCATCGAGGAACGTAATCTCCAACAGCTTCTCCTCCTCGGCCATCAGCAGCTTGATGAACTGATCCCCAAATAGATCACCCACCGGTTTCTTGGCCACATATTTCATCGAATAGACCGGCGAGTTCTCGTCGATCAGGACCATGCCGTTCTTGGTGGGCCGTATATTGATGCGTGCCCGATCAAAGTACACCTCACGCATTGTCTTGCGCAACAGGGGCTCCTGGGCCAGCTGCCTGGCCACCACATATTTGGCGGCATGCAGCACCTCGTCGACGGTCATGAAGCGTGGCGACAAATACTGCTTGGCCATCTCTGTGGGGCTTAGGCTCTCCTGGTTGACTTCGTTCCTCTGGTAATTGTCCCGTAGATTCTCGGCAAATTGCTCGGGCGTTAGGCCAAAGTGTTTGGCAAAGCCACAGATGCCGGCCTTGCGGAATACAGCATAGGGACTGCTATTTGGTGCCTGTTTCAATTGCTCCTCGGCGGCCAACTCGAGTTCCTCAGCCTCATCGAGCTCGGCCGTATCCAGTTTATCGGTTAGATCCACACCAGATTCACCATCACTGCCCGCGGCGGCAGCTGCTGCTGATGCCTGTTTGCGTGCCCGTGCCTCGCGTCGCTCCTGCAGCTGTTTGCGTCGCAGCTCGGCCTGCATTTTGGGCAACTCATGTGAGTAGTTGAGCAGAAAATACATGTGCACATCCTTCAGCTCCTCCATGGACTGCACATCGTTCAGGCGCTCGAAATCGCTGTCGAGCATCAGGCGCACATCGTCCGGCAGCGGCTTATCTGGATCATCACAAAGTGTTTCCAGCTGAAATTGTCGCATCTTCTCGAACAGTTGCTTCAGCTTCCGCTTGCGATCGTTTAGCTGGCACCAACGCTCATCGTAGTAGTAAACCTTCCACAGATCATCGATGTTCAGCTCTGGTTTCACATACTCCTTGCGATAGAATGCTATGAACGGCACCTCCAACTGTTGGTTACGTATGAATTCCAAAGTCTGTTTGATTTTATTCACAGCCGTTGGCGGCTTGCGCATCTTTTCGCGATTGTCCGCCTTCTCCTGCTCGGAGACCGTCTGTTTGCAGAACGCAAAACGATATATCCAATCGGCCTCGTCGTCCAGCTCATGGGATCCCTCCGGCACCGGCGTCACCGGCACCTGACGCAACTGCATCCGCTCTGGTATATCGGTTCTTCGTATCTGATTGTCCAAATCAGTGAAATGGCCACGTTTCAATTCGCTTGGCTCATATATATCAAATATCGTCTTTTTGATTGCCTTCTTTTTCGGTGATTTCTTCTTTTTGGCCGCACGGAAATCATCTCCAAGCAGATCCTCATCATATTCATCGCCCTCCGATTCCTCCTCATACTCATCCTCTTCGGGCTTATAAAAATCATCGTAGTCAAAATCAACGCCAAAGATATCTTGGCCCTCCTGCAGGGAGCTATACGAAAGAGATTTGTTTGTAACATTCAAGTTAATTCAAGGAATCGGAAAGCAGCTATACAACTATATTATAAATTACTTAGTAAAGCAGAGAACATATTTATGAATATTTATTCTAATATACAATTGATTATTCTATTCTTCCAATCTAGGTGAATGTACTTAGACGCTACGACTTATCAAAATCAATCTGTTAATCAAAGTATACGCAGAGAAATATGTCAGTCAATCTTTATCGATTTGACATGTGAAAAAAATAATTCGTCTTTGTTTCTGAATACCTCAGAGTTTATACCAACTCCTGCATTGATCTCGAATATATCTTATGCAGTGGCTATCCATCTATCTATCTAGACTGAACTGTAATATGTAAATACACAATACGTATATAGACTTTAACTTCTAAGGATTTGTGTGTCTAGAATATATCCATCTATTGATCTATATTGATATGTATCTATACTTACGCATCTGTAAATATGGGTCGTCGCTTCTTTTTCTTTTCGGCTATGGGACGCCCATTGTCATCCACAATAAAATCATCAGCATCCGATTCGCTCTCCTCGTCATCGAAGGCATCCGCCTCGCGAATGCTGCGCTCGCTGCGCCTCTCAATGCTCTGCTACGGAGGGGGGCGATGGGAAATCGATTGTTTATGGCCATAATTATAAATGCATGTTAGTTTATAATACATACATCATCATTCTCATCGAATAGCTGCTCAGCAATTTGCTCGCGTGCAAGTCCTTCGTCTACGTGCTGCTCCTCGCCATCGCTTTCGTTGTCGTGAATGCGTCGCAGGCGTTTAAAACGTTTCTAATATAATCACAACAAAAAGAGTTAATAATTACCATTTGTTTCACTGTATTTGTAGACCACAAGAGTTAACTTACACGTCTCTCAACCTTAACGCCCAAATTCTCCTCAATCAGATCGTAATCGTCGTCCTCCAAGCGATCATCCAGATCATCATCCTCATGCTTTTTACGCTTCTTACCGCTGCCTCCATCTTCGTCACCTCCGCTGCCAGTATCCGAATCATTTTCGCTGCCATCATCCTCCTCAATGGGATTGTCATCAATCAGATCCTTAAGCTCTTCGCGCAAACGCTCCTCATCGTCTGTTGAGGAATAAATTGATGGAAAATATATTAATTGTAAAAGGCTTGTATGCGACATTTCGAAATATCCTATGTATATAATTTGATTGCTTGTTTCAAATATTTGCAAAAGTTGTACGTCACTTTGGTTAGCAGTCACATTTCATGCATAACACTCAGTCTGAACTTCTGTTGAAATTCAAATACCCCTTTTTTTTTGCCACAGTGTATAAATAACATTGAACCTAACCTCAATGTTGTAAACAAAAAGTAGATACCTGCCTTACGGGGGAAGGGCAAAGTGATTGGGGCGACTACAATTGTCCAAACTATGACACATATACTTCACACACACGCATATGTATGTATGCATACACAGGCACACACACAACATACATATATGTGTATATACATATACTAGTCTACAGGATGGAAACTTGGTTAACTTTAGCAGGGACAACCCAATTTTCCTGACATTTATTGGAAATACATATGGATAAATTTAGCGGGCTTTTACGATCTGCAAACTCACCTTCTTCTTCTTCACTGCTGTCGGAGACGGCGGCTTTTAGTTTCTTAAGTTTTTTTCGCTCATGCACATCCAATTCTTCCTCATCCTGCAGGCAAAACCGAAAATGCAATACATATATTTATATACATCTAATTACATATATATGTAAATATATACATATATATATATACACACACACGCGCGCCTACGGCAGCACAAAACGCGTAGCAATGCAAAGAAATCGCATTTTGCGCGCGTGCAAAAACTTCACGGTAATCATACCTCTGATTCGGCGGCTTCAGAATCCAAGAATTCAGCCATTGTAATAAATTAAATAACTAAATTATATGCTAAAAATGAATTTAACTAAAATTAACACACAAAGTTCGTCGCTTGCAGTGTCACAATACAAAAATACCCAAAGACGAAGAAGCACAATTGTCAAAAAAAGAAAAACAGTGTGCAGCAGTGTTGCTAAATGCTTACATTCCTCGGCCAATGAGACCGAATAAGGGCTGCATTATCAGCTATCGATATGACGATAGGGACATTAAAAGAGCATTTAACACATCACTATTATCATGTAAAGCATAACAGAGTTACTTATTCAGAATAAATCGTCATGTGCCATCGAGTGCTGGAAACACTAGTTACAGTGTTGGCAATGCTGTCAAGCGGATAGCAAGAACGAACCATCACTCTCAATAATAATATAAATAAGCGGTTCGTGTGTGCGCGCTTCGTATATATAGTAGCATAAATACGTGAATTATTGAAATAAATAATAGAAATTTTTTGATACGCTTAAAATCAAGTCGTCAACAATTCATTTCTCTCTTTAGATATTTTTTTAACTGTGTTCTACGCGAAGTTCCAGTTCCAGCTTACGCTGAGTCCGCCACCGACCACTTCGCTTGTCATTTTCGGCGCGGTTAGTTCTCAGTACGCGCTGGTGTGCGTGTGTGTAAGTGTTCGTGTGTTACTACTCACAACGCGTGGTATATTTTGTTTAATTTTTTTTATGTTGCTCTACAATGCAATATACACACATAAACATACACAAATATATATAGCCAAATATATGTAAAATATATATAGATATAGATATATAACTGACAACGAACATGAAAAAACACTAAACAAAAATAAATCAACAAACACCAACCAGTCAAGCCAAAAATCCCTTAAAAAAAAAAAAAAAAAAAAAAAAAAAAACAAAAAAAAAAAAGAAAACCCAGCAGAGCAAGCCGCCTCGTTTATACTCAAATAGAAATTCCTGTTCAACTGCGGCACAAACAAACAAATAGAGAAGACCGGAGGAGCCAACACCAGCCGCAGTAAGAAGACATAAGAAAAAGTAACAGCAGCAATAAGAGAACCGAAGTGAATTTGAAACATGGACATAATCAATAAATTCACCAATGCATTTTGGAGTACGCACATTTGGCTGCCGCCAAATACGACATGGGCAGACATTGCGCCCGGCTCTCGTCCAGATGTCGTACACGCCGATTATCGGGATCTAATTTGGCCCATTCCATTAGCCGCTGTAGTTATGCTTATACGTTACACATTGGAGCGGTAAGTAAAAGAAAAATTTATCCAAACATACATACATATGTACGTGTAAACTTAGTTATTATCTACATGCATGTTTGTGTGTACGCCCTTTTTAGTTTAGCGTTTTCCCAGCGTCGCGCAATTCATTAAACTTATGCGGCGTTTTATGTGAATGTGTGTGTGCTGGTTTATTTTACTGTAAATGTTCCCATTGACCGCTTCGCTTCCAAGCACTGGCACTGCGGACAGCTACACACACACACACACATAGACACAGTCACACCTACACAGGCGCACGCTCCGTTTGTTTGCTTGTGTGCGTGTGCATGCTGTGCAATGTACAGTAAGCTGACGTCGTCGCGCGCCGCAACAACACGCATACACATGCATACATTCATATACATACATATGTATATAAATATGTACACATTTTTGCTCTTTTAAGCCAAACATAACCTCACGTGGAAACGCCCAACATTGTATGTATTCATATAACTGTATATGTGTTTATGTATTTAAGTGTGTGTATGCGAGTATGCGTGTTTGTTGTTGACTTCCCTTTGGCTATGTCAACGCCTTGCAACTTTATGTTTTCCTTCATCCACTTCTTCAATTTCAAAAGCAGGGGCAGCGGTGGCGGGCTTAGCGTCGCGTTCCATTGGAATCTCGATTTCCCATAAATATGAGAGCGTTCTGCGGTATTCGTGCCGCGCACAGCGCTTACTAATTTTTTAGTTAACAAAGAAATAAAAACTATTTGTTTATACTTGTATGCACTAAACAAATACTAGCATAACAATAACGGCGCACCGTGCATTTGCTCTCTACTTGTATAGATAACACACATACTACATGCACACACACATACACATTTGGATACAAAATGTACTGCACAGTGGTTAGTAGTTATTGAAAATGAGTTTCAAAACCCTGTTGCAAAATTCTTCTAATTAAATGTCGAATCATGTCTTAATATTGGCAATCTGATATAGACATGCTAATTTTTCAAATTGCCTGGAAAGTTGAGTTGAAAGCTAATGAAAGCTCGCATTAAAATAAGTTAGTTGACGTGCGAATGGTAGTGGATGAATTGGAGATTGTGTGCGATATTAGTTTTTATTATGCCATGGAAAAACGATTGCTCATGATAATAGGACACGAAAGCCTCACAATCATTACGATGCACTTAGAACATGAGTCATTATCAATAAGTGAGCAACAAATGTAATCAGATTACAGCTGAAATATGAATTGAAAGGTGAACCAATCGAATACTAGTTAAATGTATAGCTCGATGATCGATTCGTACCATTTGATTTTAGACTTTACTTATTTGATGACATTTGTTCCTTCACTTGGCACACTGTGCAGCAAAGCATTTGACGCTTTTTGGGGCCAATTAACCTTATATTTGCTCTCACACTAACAACATGTGCGCGCGCTCCTCTGTATATGTGTTTCTGTGTGTGTGTGTGTGTGTGTGTGCGTGAGTGAGTTGCGTGCATTTTGCATGTTGTAATTAACATAATTACCAATGTTCATGTGAATTTGCGCTAACGAAGTTTGCACACACACATACGTGTATATACATATACACGTGCATATACATAAATGGGGTCAGGCGCACCTGCAATGTGTTTCACTCCACACTTCCAAAATTTATAGTTCATTTAGTTTTTTTTTGTGTGTGTGTTTGGACTGCAGTAAATGTTAAAGGCCAACTTCACGCTGTGAAAATTTGTGTGGACGTTTCTTATTGAACTACAACTGCATAAGACATAAATATTTGTCAGGGCTGTTAAGCTTTGACTAGTTTTATTTTATTTTTGATTTTTTAGAGTTTCTGAAACTAGAATTGGCTTTCAGGGTCGCCAACAAATTAAGCAAGTGTGTTGCTCATTTATATATGTATATGTATATATATATATGTGTGTGTGTGTCTTTGTATGTGTGGCATCGACAGCTATAGCAACATCAACAACACCTTCTCCACTTCTGCACTCCAACTGGGCATTTGTTGATAAGATTTGTGCGCAAGATTTACGTAAAAATAAAATACAAATTTGATAATGCGCGGTGTTATCACAATTACGTTATAAATACATACAAACATGCGTGTGGGTGGATCTGTGTTCATACCAATGTGCATGTGTATTTCTGTGACAACACACGCTTGAGTCAGTCTGATGTGGAATGACTGTGACTCAGTTCCGTTCCATTCCTGGCAAGTCTAGCTAGATTTTCCAAAATTGGACACACTGGAATAGTATAAGAGAGAAAAAAGTAACAATACAACAGTAACATTTCCATTCCAAGCAGCATGCACACAAATATACATACATATGTACTATCTCGATTATTATCCACATATGTACATACATACATACATGTATACAAATGCACAATCATATGTGCAAATGTGGGAGTGTATAAAAAAATATATGCATGCATATACGAATGTAGACATACATACATACATACATATATTTCTTCTGATTACGTATCAGTCGACCCTCAAGCGCTATAAAATTTAAAATTTTATTTATTTTTATTTTTTTTTTTCAAAATTGTCCCACACACACACATGTAACTAAATGGTTAAATCTAATCAGAGTCGGATCTTCGTGCAGGCGACAATAGGCTGTGAGTGTGTGATATATGTATATACATATGTATGTATATAAATGTGTATAAATTGCAGTTTTCCCATATTCATTTTGCTCGTTTCCAAGAATGTAGACACACACACGAATGCGGCTGCTATTGTATTGCCTGTTGCCGTTAATCTAAATCCAAACTAGTTTATCGCTGTTGCTGGCGTCGGCCGTTTGCCCAAACCGAAAGGCCAAAAAAAAGTGCACGTGCTTCACGCACACAGAAGGCCGCCGGCTTACGCACACATACAGACTGTCATACGCATGTATGTGTGCTTAGCGTAGCTTTACTTTTAAATGCGAAATATGTATGCATATATGTTAAATAGTCAATTAACGCCGTTGCTGTTATTATTGTTGTTGCTTCTTCTTCTTTTGAAATCAGCTGTTTAACAACGAGCGATAACGATGGGATTTTGTTTTTGTTTTTTCGGCAATGATCTTGTTATCGCCTGCTTAGCTGCTCGAATGACACTGTCCAAAGCCTATGTTAAAGAGCATGAGTCACCGTTTAATATATATAAATATAAATGTATATATATAATGTGCAAATGTATGCCGCCTGAATAAGTGTGTTTGTTTTTTACAATATCGCCCAATCGCTTGCGTGTTGAATTATCATCAACGAGCAACTCGAGGTGCTTGTACTTTCCGCCCTCACTCACTCTCTCTCTCTCTGTCGACATTTCGGACATACTGTAATTTGCCGAAATGGCAACACTCTCACACGCACATACATACATATGCCCACATTTGATGCGTGCTGATAACAGGCGGCAATTACTGCAGTTAATAATTTTTGGACGACATGAAGCAAACATGCATATGTGCAAATACATAAAATTATTCATTTGTATGTAATTTTGTATGTAAATATGCATTTAAATATGCATTTGTTCGTTTATCCTGCTTTTGTGATTAATAGCATATATCGCGAATTGCTAATCGAGTGCTCCGACTCAAGGAGCGGTTCTGTTAACTATCGATAAACAAGATGAGAAGCTAAAAACTGCTAAAAGCTATCAGCATTTGAATTGACTGAAAAAGATGTATAAAGTAATCTATATTTCTGTTAAAAGGGTGATTAGTTTAGTATATTTATTACATTAATCTTAGCATATGAAAAGATTGCATACGTGAGTGTATTAAATTTGATTGTTAATGACGAAAACTAGGCATCTGCTTACTACGCAAAA